ATAAAAATGAGCCAATCAGCGCGCGAGAAATTAGACAGTTATTGTACAATATTTGTTCGCATCATTTCGCCATGTCCGTATTTATGTGGTGTCTTTTAAGGGTCTAATGAAGCTCGAGCAGCACCCATATTAGTCTCCTTTAGGAGTTAAATTTAAATTTTCCTACGAGCATTCCTGCAGACGTTTTGATATGGGACTTCCCCACGGGATATCCAAATGTCTAACAGGAAGTCATGGAGTAATGGAGTGAAATCTCTCCCTCACTACAACTTGGAAAATAATATTTTCCGAGTGTAAAAATGACCAACACCTCTTCGAATATTTCATATATTACAAATAATCTATATTTTTGATAATAAAACCGCAAAAATGAAGGCTAAATACCCTGAAAATAATGGTAACAGGACTGAGTGGAGTCCAGTTCGGTGTGTAATCATACGCGTGATTACCAAAATTGGAGGACCGCAAAGCGGGAGTCCGATTTGTTTAATCACGAGAATGATTACAGAGAGAAATGGACAACATGGGGTCCTGTTACCAATTAATCATAACCATTTCAATTTCCCAAAAAACAAAAAGTTCAATTTAAATAAATAGCAAACTATGATAACTAGACTTTCCGGAGAAAATTAGACAATAGCTTGAAAACTTACGTAGTCTCCCTCGCAAACGCTCTTGTTAGGGCTTGTCACGCGTTCCTTCCTCATCGTGGGAGGTACTTAAAAACTGGCCAGCATGCAGCAAAATGCACTGCACCATTTGCTTCTTTCTAAACCGTTCCTAAGATTTAGCCCTTTATTTAGAGGTGGGGGTGGGGGAAGGTTGAAGAAGACTGATGACGTGCAGTCTGTGTACTCACCTACGATTAACAAGGTGCTGAGGCATCTCCTGCTTATATTTGTTGTATGCAACGTTTCTATAATAGTACTAGCATAATTAGATTACAATTTGTTTTTCTTCACACAGGGTGCAGGCTAGAAGGATCTCCAGAACCATTGCCTTCAATGATGGAGTTTAATTCATGGAACATCGTGTGGAGTTTGTGTTTTGGAATATTAGCGACATTGATCGTTGTTGGAAATCTCCTTACCATCTGGATATTTCTTAAGCGGAGACTTCGCAAGCGCGCTCATTTTCTTTTGATTAGTTTGGCTGTTGCTGATTTACTTGTTGGGCTGCTAACTGTTCCTCTGTACATAGCTATTAATACTGTATTGTACTTACGGCAACGGTATCCCTTGGTGTGGTACGTGTCCGAAATGACTGACATTTTTACTGGCATTGCCTCTATCTTCGCACTTGCCGCTATTTCATTGGAGAGAATGTACGCCATAGGCTGGCCTTTTCGTCATAGAACCCTAAGCGTTCGTGTTTACATACTTGCTATTGCCATACCATGGATTCTGGCAGCAATATTCACTTCTATAGCTTTACTGACTTACTTCTCTATCATAACATTGGGAAACTATGTGTACACTCGCACCTTGTTCCTGAGCACGCCACTATTAGTGATGTGTATAGCATATTTTGTTGTATGGAAGAAACAAAAAACAATGATGGGTAACCAGAATCACGTGGTAAGAGAGACAAGGTTAGCAAAAACGCTGTTCATTATTACTGCAGCTTCTCTTTTGACCTGGCTGCCATTTCAAATATTGTTACTGTTGCTAAATTTTGATGTAATTGGAAATCTAGCTTACTTTAACGCGACGGTTTTCATAATCAAGGTTTTGCAATTCAGCAATTCGCTAGTAAATGTAATAATTTATCCACTCAGAATATCAGAATTTAAGAACACCTTTCTTCAGATGCTTCGTTGTTTTGCGCATATGTGCCCTCGTGAAAGAAGAAATGAAGTTTTGCCGATGCATGAAGGGAGACAGGGTCAGTTTCATCATTTTCAAGAATTACGCATTTCCAATCATTAGCAAATATTAGATGGAAAGTAAATTCATGTTTATTTCGGTGTTGCAAGCATTAACAGTCAAGGTAATAAAAAACCCACTTTAAGTAGATTTACCACATCCAAAACTTGAAAGCTTGCCTTGTTTCTCTAGCTCAGTCAGTGGGTGCAAAGTACAATGTTACTGTGCAATCCATGATCAGTCTGTTTCGAGAATTTGAATTAGAAATCATTGATTACTTCCAAGACAATTTATTTGTAAACATCATAACGTTCTTAGTGAGGCTAGTGCGTGTCATGTATACACCAATAATTTGTCCTTTTATCAGAGCCTCAAAATTCCTATATGTTATTGTTTGCAAAGATTTTGATATTGCGGTACGAGAGTTGTACAAATTATAGTACGATACTACCAGTGGATCAGTTTTACATTTGTATTAATTTTTATATTCAGTTGAAATAAAATGTGTGTAAAGTATGTGTATGCGTGTTTCCACGGGTTCCAGACAAAAAAGGACCTTCTGAAGAGTTGATTAAAG